CACTATCGCCGGCCGGCTCGGCTGGGGCACAATGAGCGACGCCCAGGGGGTGTATGGGGCCCCTACAGCCGCTGAGCGTCTACGACAGCACCACGCGTCGCATCTGCGGGAGTTCGAGATGTGGTACTTCCAGATAAGCCGCGCCAGGATCATGCAATCGCAGGGCCAGCAGAACCAACAAGCGGCACGTATGGCCCCGGAACGGGTCACGCAGGCCATGCAAGCCGCCGCGATGGGCGTGTCGGCCGAGGAGCTCAAGGCGCGCGGTGTCGGCGACGACGTTATCCAGTTCGTCGAGGCCAACCGCGAAGTGCTGCTCGCGAAGCATCGCGAGGAGACGGCGTTCAAGCAGGGGTTGCAGCAGCAGCAGGGTCAGCAGCCCAATATTGCTTTGCACCCACAGCAGCCGCCGTATATGAGGGGAGGGATCGGACAGCCAGGTCAGCCGCATGTAAACGGCGGCGGGGTGGGCGGGCCAGGTAATGTGCACGCGCCGCCGCCACTGCCTCTCCAGGGGCAGCCTCCGCAGGTCGGCAACCTTTCCCCCGCTTAGTTTCAGGCGGCCGCTCAACGGACGTTGCAGCTCTTCGGGCCAGTTCCGGCTGCGCGCGATCTCAAGGGTGTGCGTCCGGACGGATCGATTGACCTGGTCTTTATTCTTGCCGCGCAAGAGTACATTATCAAGATGAAGGACTCGATCGAGCCGCGTGAGTATATCATTCATCCTTATACACAATGCTTTCGCTAAAGAGACGCATGTGGCTTCTCTGTGCACGAATAGAACTTCTCCGCGAAATCAACGATGTTGACCCGCCTGTTGATGCTGATAGGAATGAGTGGATGGCGCTACTCGAGCGTGTATCGGGATTGGCGGCTGAGATCGATCAGACGCTACCGACGTTCATCGCCTACATTCAAGGCCCGAACCAAGAAAGAGAACCCTTTTTCCGCAAGGTAAAGTACTAGCGCCCGCTCTTTCAGGGAACACTCTGGTTAACGTGCCTCGTGATTGATCTATAGTATCTCGGCGACATGTTGACTGTCGCATTTCAGAAGAGGCTCGTATTGCAGTCAGAGCCGCGCTTCATCGTCGACCAGAACACACTACTGGGTTATTTACAGCTGTTTTCGAACTTTCTAGTCATAATTCACAATCGGACCGCTGCGGTACGACTCGAGCTAAAACAGCTCCATGGTTTCGCGCCCAATGTACCAGCTGAGTACCTGGCAAGTGATCCGTCATCGTCCTCACCGACTTTGAAGAGATGAGGCTGGATGAGGCTGGCAACACCACACTTCGCTTTACACCACTATCAGTCTCCACTGTCATAACTAGAACACTTTATTACGCATCAATGCTTCAAGCAGCTGCTCGCACAGTTTCTACCTCCTATTCTTCACCGTTCATACTTTCGGTCTTATGTAGCCAGGCCAATACTCGCCGCGTGATGCTCACACCCTTGTCTTTCTGTGAGACTCGCCCCATCTTCTAATGCGACTGAACCAACCCGCTGACTTCAGAGCGTTTCATTACTTACGGTCTGGACACTGGCCCCACTCCCTTATCTCCCAATCATCATTGTATCTTACATTTACTTATCGTGTGTCATATATTGCAGTACGAATGTTATGGGGTGGGTGATGAAAAGCAGGAAAGCAACAAGAGCGTGTATGCGTGACGACATGCTAGGGAGGAAGAACCAGCTATTTGTGAGACGGACCCAGAGGACAAGAAAGAGAATCCCAATGAAAGTGTGATGACACGCGGACAGAGACGATTGCGACAGATGAGCAGATGAGCACATCCGAAGGCCGTCGTTCTGGGCGGTCCATACTTCCCCGATACGTCGCACCCATACCCCGAAAGGGCTCGCTAAGCGACATGTCCGACGGTGATAGTCTAAAGCGTGTGTTGGAATTGTGGCGATGGAGTGGTAGAACCTTGACCTTCAAGCTTGATGTACTGTTGACCGGGACCGACGAGCGCCGACAGCGCCAGTACGTAGTGCCAAAAACATGCTGTCTCCATGAGCAAGCGTCAACGTTGAATGGCGAGCAAACCCCGAACTCGAAGTAGTGCCGTAGTTCCGACGCCTCGACGAAGATCTGACCATTCATCGACCGGACAAGCAACGAGCGGAGGCTGTTGTCGGCGCGAACTAAGATGAGTGTCGAGACGAGGGCAAGACCGGAAGGAGAGGTTGCACCGGGCGCAGTGGTTGTGGTCGGCCGTCATGCGGGCTTTCAGCAACACGCCCGTTGCGAAGAGCTAAAGCGGGTTATGTAAGCAAGAGCGCTCGCATGATGTGCACGTCGACGTACGCAACAACACTCTGTACACTCGGGATGTTGCCTGTTGCCGTAGTGCTCGTATATATCCGTTTCCGAACAACATTAGCCGCACGCTTCGCAGTATGGGTGCCCCGGATGTTCCTTGAAGTGTCTTGCAAGTTCGCCTTCGTTAGGGTAGAACTAATGGGAGAGCATCAGAGACACGTTCTATGCTTGCAGGAAGCCTCAGGAGGGTCTACCAGAGGCTTCCACCGCTTGAGCGCTAGTCACGAACAACACTATCCGCCAGTCTCGCGAGTTGACCGTTTTCCCGCGGAAAAGATGTGGCGATAACCAACTCTACGGTGACCAGCACACCAGACGTGGCAGTCCTCCAGTGAGCATCAAGGTTTTCGGTGGTGGTTGTCGATGTGATGGGGGGTGGGGAGGGGGAGATGGCGGGGAGGACCGGCTC